TGGAACCGGCCCAAAATGTGGCTGAAAGCAAGGGAGGCTGTCCTGAGCTAAACCACGTGCAGGGGGGGAGTGCCGTTTTTATCATCCCTGGAGTCGCCGCTCCAGTTCTAAATTCAGAATGCCTCACTGTTTCCCCTTTCCTCTTTAAGAAAAGACAAAGTACGGATTGAACAAAATCGAAGATCTCGCTTTCCCAAAAATAAAAGCCAGGCTGTTTCACACATTTGTTATCGCACGGAAGGAAACAGGCAAGTTTCAACACAGGCTGTTCCAGAAATCAGGGGATGCTGTTGTGGCATTCCCTGCAGACCCTGAAATGGCTCTGTCTTGTGAACTGACAAAAGTCCAGCAACAGGCCCAGAAGTTCCATCTAGAGTCAGTTTGGTGTCGTGGTGAAGTGCGCGGACTCTGATCTGGGAGAACCAGGTTTGATTCCCCACGCCTCCACTTGCAGCTGCTGGACGACCTCGGGCAAGCCAATAGTTCTGCCAGAGCTGTTCTCTCAAGGACAGTTCTGGAAAGAGCTCTCTCAGCCCCGCCTAACTCACAGGGTGTCTGTTGTGGGGAGGGGAAGGGAAAGGAGTTTGTAAGCCGCTCTGCATGAAGGGCAGGGAATAAATCCAATCTTTTGGGGCCCGGGGGGGGGGGGGGGCTGGCTCCTGAACCTGTGGGTGTGGTGCTGCAGTCCATATCAAAATGGGAAGATCCCACCAAGGGGGATCTTCCCTCACTCTGAGGGAAAAGGAACTGCATCACCTCCATGGTGTTCAGGAATGGCGCACACTGACTGGGAGACAGCAGGAGCTCTGAGGAGGGGGCAGGCACTGAAGTCGAAAGTGGGCACGGCTTAACCGGTGCAGCTGCGAGAAAGAGGACGGGGCTGCGAAGGGAAGTCTCGTGTGCCTCTGCCGCTTGCGAGACTTCATTTATGCAAGGAAGCGAGCTCTTTTTTTAAAAAAAGCAGGATCCTTTCCACCAGGAGAGGTCACCACAGTCGGCAGTAAACTGCTGGCTGGGCAACTCTTGACAGCGTGTCCTAGTTTTCCGAAGTGCTGCTGGAGTTCTTAAAAAACCTTAGCCGCGTACAGCCTGTTCCCTAATGCTGCAGGCGACCCACTGCTCCCCCCCCCCCCCCCCCCAGTGTCACGGGCCGGCTCTAGGAGCTCTTTGGTGCCGTCCCTCAGCTGCAGCCCCTGTGGATTTCTAAAAGCTTTGCTAGAAAAATATGCCCACTGAACTGCCCAGTGGTCAGACTGTTACATTTCTTACACTCACACACACACAGGGTCAGTTCTTGTAGGTAAGAAAAGAGTTGAAATGGCAGCACTTCTCGGCCACTTACCCGTGAAGGCAGTTCAGAGATTGCAGCTGGTACAAAACTGGTTTCCGCAAGCAGAACAGAGTTTGGGGAGACCATCCCTGAGCAGTGGCACACGGCAGGTCCCCGGTTCAGTCTCCGGCAGCTCCAGTTAAAAGGTCTCATGCAATAGCTGCCGGGAAAGTCCATCGTGCACCTAGAGAGCAGACAAGACGGAGCGCGACAGACTGCCAGTCCCCAAGCTAGGTCAGCAGCACTGGCTGCCAGTCCGGATCCCAAGCCCAACTGAAAGGGAATTAGATAAGCATATGGAGCAGAGGTCCATCAGTGGCTATTAGCCACAAGGCAAGTGATGCTCTGTATTCTTGGTGCTTGGGGGGGGGGGAACAGTGGGAGGGCTTGTAGTGTCCAGGCCCCACTGGTGGACCTCCTGATGGTCCCTGGTATTTCTGGCCACTGTGTGATACAGAGTGTTGGACTGGATGGGCCTTTGGCCTGATCCAACATTGGCGTCTCTTATGTTCTTATGTTGATTGCTTAATACCTACAGAGACTTTGTGGAACTTCCGTTTGGCTGGCTCGGCTCGCCTTCCTGCCCTGTAACACAACTGCTGCTTTATCTGGTCTTTCTTCTCCTTGGTCCCCTTTAGCCAGCAGCCTTCCAAACACAGGGTCCTTCAGAACTCTGCCTCCTACACCAAAGGTGGCGTTGGCAGCTCCTTGGTCTCTCTAGGCTCCCAGGACTCGATAGACGCACTGGAATTTGGTCACGCTTGGCCGTGGAAACCTGGCAACTGAAAGAGCATTTCTCTGCTCCTCACAATCTCTCTCCCCCCCACCCCCAAGTAAATTTCGCTTCCTCCTAATACACCTCTCTCCTGCCAACCTAGCAGTTCGAAAGCAAGAAACTGCAAGTATGATAAATAGGTACCGCTTCGGTGGGAAGGCAACAGCGTGCCGTGCGCCTCGGCATTTAGTCACCGTGGCCACATGACCACGGAAACATCTTCGGACAGCGCTAGCTCTTTGGCTTGGAAACGGAGATGAGCACCGCCCCCTAGAGTCGGAGTCAACTAGCTTTCGAGCAAGGGACACCTTTACCTAATACCCCTTTGTCCCATCTGCACCCCAACAGTATTTCTTTTACACAGATCACCTCGAGATCCAGAGCTGATGCCCCCCCTCCCGCCATCCACGGTCAGACCATGTCACTGTTTACTTAGTCATCTTGAAAAGGAGTCCAAAATTTATTTAACGGTCTTTGCTCTCAGTAAAGACAGTGATGATGGTACTCATTTGATCTCCCAGTTATTTTCCCCATGCAACCCGGAGCTTAAAAATCCCTATTCTTCTTGGTCTCGGGGCCATGCTATTAGCCACTCTCGTGGGAACAATTATGTCGGTGCAAGCCAGCTCCGTGTCAGCCCTGAGCACTTTGCCAAGACACAAACCCTGTCGGAGCTGGAGAGTTACCCGTCCCAGCACTCTGCCTAGCCATTTGTGTGGTTTCCTATCTTTGGGGACTCATTTCTGAAATTAAGTCAATCTCACATTGGGTACCAGAGTGTTAATTACACCCGAGACTCAATTACAGCAATGACAAATGATTTATCAAGGCGGGGATTGCCTTATACAGGCTGTTGACATATTGAGAGAGTCCCACTTTTATTTATTTTATTTTTTATACCCCACCACCACCACCACCTTTCTCCCATATGGGAACTCAGAGTAGCTCACATTGCTCTTTTCTCCATTTTATGCTTTGCTGCTGTAATTGGGCCTCGGGGAACAGCTAACACTTTGGTACCCGACAGGAGACTGGCTTAGTTTCAGAAATGAGTCCCCAGAGATACGAACCACACAAATGTTGGGACAGGTAATTCTTGCCAGAAGCTCAAACACACTCTGTCTCACGAGCTTGTTGTGAGAATAAAAGGGAGTAAAGAAGAAGAAGATTGGATTTATACCCCGCCCTTCACGACCAAAAGGTGTCTCAGAGCGGCTTACAACCTCCTTTCCCTTCCCTCCCCACAACAGACACCCTGTGAGTGGGGCTGAGAGCTCTGACAGATTTTTTTCAAGGACAGCTCTTGTCAGAACTACGGCTTGCCCAAGGTCATCCAGCAGGTGCAAGTGGAGGAGTGGGGAATCAAACCCAGTTCTCCCAGATTAGAGTCCGCACACTTAACCACTACACCAAACTGGCTCTCAGATCAGTGTAAACTGCCTTGGGTGGGGTATAAAAATAAAATAAACAGCTGTGATACATTTTTCAGTCTTCTGTATCCTGCAAATTGTCAAAATACCAGGAGCTGAATCATTTTATTGGGTCCAGTCGACAAAAGGGGACTTGTATAAGATCCTCCTCAGCTCTTCCTGCGGATTTCATTCCTTCAGTACCTCCCCCCCCCCCGTCTTTTAGGTTCATAGCTCATGTGCCGAGGTTGCCTTGAGAACAGGTTGCTGCCCTAATCACATGAGGCTGTGCGTTAAGATGATTGCCGGCTGAATTTTGAAACGAGACTCGTTAGCCACCAAACGCCTTAGTCACATCCCTCCATGGCTGTTCTGCTTGCAGGCGGCTGACTGCCTCTCTCGGTTGTGCTGCTAGCTAAGGTGGATCAGCCCCTGTGAGTCACCCTGCCTGCAACCCACACAGGCCATTACGATCCCTCGTCTGGAGTCATGAAGGACCTGCCGGCTACAGGCACAGAGTGGTGATTAAACAGGATATGATTGATGAAGGCTGCAATCCGCTCTGTGGATTCCGAGGGACCCCAAGCCAAAGAGACAAGCTGTGCCAGGCCGAGGAAGTCGGGCTGAGTCAGCCAGATGGAGAAACCAGAGGAAAGAAAAGATGCCTGTATTGTTTGTGCTGGCATCACACACGGGAAGCTCTTAGCTACTCAGTGGCTGGCAGAGCAAAACCCAGCATATCGTATCGTCAAATGCGCAGCAAAGATCTTTTTTATTTACTTCATTTACAAGTATCCAACTCTGCTTATGTCACTCCCCATTTTATCCTCACAACAGCCCTGCGAGGTAGGTTAGGTTGTGTATGTGTGACTGGCCCAAGGTCACCCAACAAGCTTCCATGGCAGAGTGGGGGTTTGGATTTGGGTCTCTCCTAGTCTGGCACTCTACCTGCCTTATACTACTCTGTCTCTGTCTTGTCCCTCCTGGGATTAGCCTCTTTCCTTCTTAAAGAAGGAATCAAATTGTCCTCAGGCAGTATCCGAGGATGACTGCCATTTCCAATATTTCACAGATTTGCTAGAACAGCCTGTGAAGCAAGTTACATGAAGACATTTGTGTTTCCTCGATGGGGGAAATACAAGGCCCAGGCATGGACCACCACCAGTGTGGTACCTCAAACAGTGTCCAAAAGTGGAGAAAAATTCCCCACATCCTGGATCATGAAACTTCTGGTAGGCAGTGAATGCTGGCTATGTGAGACGCGGACAGTTTAAACGAGAGCATTTTGGTTGGCCACGGTAGTTTGGAACTGAGATGTCAAGCCAGAATACACACAAGAATCCATTGGTGGGTCCCTGTAACTTAAATGTTTGGAAGCAGAAAGCCCCATTTTCCATTGGTAGACAGATGACAGCCAAATCAACATTTCAAATCTTAGGTTTTAATTAAAATTAAATAAGTTACAACTGCCAAAATATTAATCGGAAAAAGCCTAAAACAATAAATATCAAATTAAGACACATTTCACAGAAATGCTTCTTTTAAAAAAAATAGGAGCATTTATAACAACCTTCCATGAAAGAATACTGCATCTAGGAAACAGAGTGTCTTCTCTACACATATTTTATTCCCAAATGACATTTTAGCAGATGAATGTTGCAGAATCCACCCTGTAGCTTATAATGAATGTGGCGTCTGGTAGGAGAAAGTACAGACAAAGCCAGTACGGGCATTCAGGATTTGATTTCAGAGCTGGCTTGTTACCCACGGTCACTTCTGGCCAGACTAGCGTTTTACTGCCGATTCACTTCTGGCCAGACTAGCGTTTTACTGCCGATTCACGGGTCAGCGTTTCACCCCTCAAAAAATGGACGTTATGACCAAAATGGCCCAATCCACTGTGAACAGGATACTGCACCAAAGAAGCCACTAAAGATTTTCTAAGCCACAGATTTGCACGTTTCCAGTTGCCTCGTTGAGGTTTCCTCTGGAATCTCTTAAACTCAATATCTCCAAGCCTGAACTTCTCATTATTCTTCCTCTCCCTTATGCTCTCCATCACCAGCATCTCCTTCCACCCTCCGGAGAGGCATGAAGCCCTGGTCTTCTCCTCTCCAACTCTACTCTGTCCCCCATTCTCCAGCCAGGCGGCTGCTTCCTTGACACCACTGCAGAAACCACAATCTCTCAGCAAGAACTCGATTGCTGTCTGGCTGCTCTAGCTTCTATCCAGCACAGGGCCATCACAGCCATTCACTGCTCTCCTTCAGCCCTCACACGCTCCGATCCAGCACAAACCCCTTACCCAAAGCCCCCCGGCCTTGCCCCACTTGTGTGCTCACATGCCCACCTGGGGATTTTGCACCTCCAGCCTTGGGGTGGCACTCTGCTCCCTCCAACGACTCTGCCCCACGTGCCCAGAACTACCTCCTGTCCACCCTCACGGCCTTCAAGCCTCTCTCCATACCCCACTTTCCACAAAGGCTTTGGCACAACTAGTAGCCCCTCTCTTCCTCTCCCTTAGGACAAATGTTAGATTCTAAGCTCATCCGAGCAGAGGCCTGGCTTCTCTCCCTCCATAAAAGGTCACCCTAACTGAAGGTATAACAATGATGAACACTTCACCTTCTCTCAAGGATGGAAAAATAGAATGTTGAACCTAAAACACAAAAGGCAAATACCAGAGACTCTAATAAGGCCTGTTTCCAGCTCCTCCAAACACCCACATTTTATAAAAACTGTGAGTCCACAGTAGACAAACTGAATGCCCTTTGAGTTGCTCTTATGAGCCACGTCTTAGCCATATGGTCTCAATCCGTATCTGTCTCTTGAAATCTGCCAGGGTGTGTGTGTGGCAGGGCATTTTAGAGAGACAGACTAAATTGTGGGGGAGGTTTGCTGCTTCAGAACCGTGCCAAAAAGCACGTCAGATATATTAGAAGGCAAGAACAATTGCAATTCTGCTGATGTAGCCCACCACGGATGCCATGCTGGTTTTCGCAGGGCCTAACATGTCCTATCAAGTCTGTTTCCCTCTTTCCGCCACCTCTTCTTTCTTCTGGGACATTCCACATGGAAGAAGCAGTGGCCCACATCACGAGTCAGAGTCCATAATTCTCTTTCAGTCACGCAAGTCCACCAGCCTCCATCGGCTAACGACGAGAAATTTCAAGAGTAAGCAAAAAAACTCTACTGGATGCTGACCAGACAGCCACCTGCATCCTCTGGGGAACCGGCACTCAGCTCCGAGCTTGTCACAAAATGCTGGCTGTGCCAAAGCTCACGTGTTATCAGCCTGCTTTGTTCTTCAGCCGCAGAAGTTCAGGAATTGCATCGGAACCATCTAGTCCTCAGATGACATAGCAGGACATGAGTGCCAAGTCCTTTATATCCGATGTGTAGGCTGTGAAAGAACAGAGAGCAACAGTAATGTTGATGAGCCCATAAATATTTAAAATACACTTTCCCAAGCCTCTTTTCCGCACCGGCTCCCTCTATTACAGACCCTCACACTCCTCATATTTTTACTTTATTCATTTACAAATTTTATATCCTCCTGACCTCACAAGGGTCACCAAGGCGGCTAACGATTTAAAACGTATGTGATAAAATCATATTTCAAAAGCATTACAATCACTATAGCCCCACATTAATGTGTTTACTTAAATGCAATTGTGTTCCTGTACCTTGTCATAATGCCAAAGGCCAAACCAGTGACTGGCAGAGATCCAGTAGAATTGAGTCTCAGCCCTAAGATGCTCAACCCCACCCCAGGCCAAAAGGGACGTGGCCTCGTCACAGAGAATTATGGCTTTCAACACCTCCCTGGTCTAACCCTATAAATCGTTTTACTGTTGTTGTGTCAGAAGGAATCTTATTTCTGCCGTGTACATAGTTTCAGGAGAGTAGCTATGTTGGTCTGCACTGGGAGAGCTGAATCTGAGTTCAGTTGGACTTAAAGAGATTGTGAGAGTATACACTTTCGAGAGGCTAAGCTCTGTTTCATTCCCAAAACAACCTACACAAGAAGAACTCTCAAAGGAATGAAGTGGCAGCACCAGAACGGGCAAGGCTGTGACATGCCTCTCAACCATCTCATGGATTTGGTGTCTTCTCCTACCCCTCCTGAGACCAGGTTGACCCTACAAAAGCACCACAACAAGATTTAAGTGCAAAGCGTTTGAAATGCAACCAGCTAAGGCTACCAGTTCATTTCTCTGCCTGCCCCACCTCACTCAAACTGTACATTTAAGTTTGTGAGAAAGAAAGCCACAAACATATGCTTGAAAGCTGATACAAAAAGGAAAGGGAGAAAAAACACTAACATGTTGAAGGGGGCTACTTGTTGATGATTTTAAAATTAGGTATTAGTGAGTCACATTCAACTGTATTCTTAATCACTACAGCGACACAACAAGTACCTATTAATTTAATAATGCCTATTTGGGGGGGGATGGGAAGAAAGGCATCGTCTGGAGCCAGTTTGGTGTAGTGGTTAAGTGCGCAGACTCTAATCTGGGAGAACTGGGTTTGATTCCCCACTCCTCCACTTGCAGCTGCTGGATGACCTTGGGCAAGCCACAGTTCTGTCAGAGCTGTTTCTGTCAGAGCTCTCTCAGCCCCACCTACCTCACAGGGTGTCTGTTGTGGGGAGGGGAAGGGAAAGGAGTTTGTAAGCCGCTCTGAGACTCCCTTGGGTAGTGAAGGGCAGGGTATAAATCCAATCTCTTCTTCTACTGTAGGCTAATCAATAACATTGATAGCTATGGGTATAAACTGACTGTACAGCATTTTTAAAGCCCTGTACAGATGCTACCCAGAGTTCAGGTGTATGAGTGTTGGTATTTATGTTAAGTTGGTATGGGCAAAAATAACACTTATATGGCAAAAAGTCAGACTATTTCTAGGGGTGGGAAGCATAAAGCACCAACAGGTGCAGGTGAGAAGGGCAGAAACGCCTCTTCTAAGACGGTGCATGTCCTTGTGGTTTTTATAAATGTCCGTATTCAAATATAAAATCAGGCATAGATAAAATACATGTAAAATATGTTACATCTATCCTTCCATTTCTCATAGAAAGACTCACATAAACTAATGCAGCAACCATAAAATAAAACATACATTTTATATTTTATGTCTTGCTCTTTCTTTCTACATAGATATTAAACAGAAGTCCAAAACTACCCCAAAAGGCTAACAAAATCTATTTCAGCTTAAGCTTGAGCGAGATGCATCCTCTTGACGGCGAGCTCCAACTCCCCAGAACTCATGCTGCACTTAAAATCTTAAGTGTGAGATGCCGCTGGACTCCTGTTCCACCTTACTACGACTACCACAGCCACTTCTCCAGAGTTCTCTCCCTCTGTTTGCGCATGGAATTTGAAAATTCGCATACTAAGGTACTGGTAGGGATGCCAGCCTCCTGGTGGAACCTGGGAATCCCCCTGGAATTACAGCTCATCTTCAGATGCCAGAAAGCAGCTCCCCTGGAGAAAATGGTTACTTTGGAGGGAGAACTGTATGGTATTGTACCCCACTGAAGACCCTGTCCGGACCCCAAATCTCCAGGAGGTTCCCAAACCTCGATCTGTCAACCCTGAGTCTGCGGGACTCAAATCTAACACTTTAAATTGTGTTACAGCTTTTGAGTTCTTAATCGGTGTGAGGGTACCAACCTAAGAGGCAAAAAAGTGACAGAGAAGCCAGTCAAATCAGTCGCTTCTATCCCAATGGTACATCCAGGACACAAACAAAAAAGGAGGGGAAGGGGAAAGAAGGAAAACTCAACCCAAAAAGCTGCTATGAATCCACAAGGGTTAAGCTGAACCAGATCACATCCAGGACAACCACTGTTCCCTCCAAGCTGAGTCAGTGTGAGCGAGCTCACAGTTTTTTAGCCTCCGGCTCACACATTTTTGCTTTGGCTCAGGAAGGATGGGGCTCCAGAGCAACCTAATTTATGCAGTAGCCAAATCACCTGCTCACAACTTTAATGCCAGGAGCTCACAACGTAGTAATTTTGCTCACAAGACTCCACAGCCGAGAGGGAGCATTGCAGCCAGTGTCCCCTCTCAGCTGAGTGAGTGCGAGCCAGCTCACAGTCTTTGAGCCTCCGACTCACACATTTTTGCCTTAGCGCAGGAAGGATGGGGCTCCAGAGCAGACTAATGTATGCAGCAGCCAAATCACCTGCTCACAAATTTAATGCCAGCAGCTCACAACGTAGGATTTTTGCTCACAAGACTCCACAGCCGAGAGGGAGCACTGATGACAACCTCTCCTCGGGACAATCAGACACGCATTCCGATCGTGCCCGTCCGGCAATCGATGACTCGAGCCTATCGATCGATTGTTCGGCGCGCCAAGTGAGGCTGGAGCGCGATACTCACGGTTGATTGGCTCGCTGCGCCGAGGGGGGGCGGAGTGGCTTCTCCGGGGCGCATGCGCGGTGCGGCCGGCGCCTCCCTTCAGGAGCCTCTTGAGGGCCCTCCAGAGCCGCCATTGCCCGGCCTCGTCGTCCGGCTCCTCGCCGGGAGCTTCGTCGGCCGGCCGCTCGGCCTTCTGGCGTTCCCGCTCGGCCAGGAGGACGCGCTGCCAGAGCTCGGTGTCGATGGGCGGGAGGACGAGGCGGCGCCGGCCGTACCCGCTGCTGCGCCTCACCCCCGCCACCAGGAAGTTGCCCCGCTCGCGGAGGGAGGTGACGGTGCGGCAGTAAGGGCACGTGACCTCCTCCCAGCCGCCCTCGCGCGCCAGCCGGTAGGCGCAGGCGCTGCAGAGCACGTGGCGGCACTGCGAGGGCTTCCAGGAGCCGTGCGCGCTCCCGAGCCGGCGCGGCGCCCGCCCGCAGCAGTCGTAAGGCATGCAGCAGATGCCGCACTCCAGCTCCTCGGCCTCGCCCGCCTCTTCCGCCGGCTGACCCATCCCGCCACCCGTAGCTCGCCCCAGCGCCGCCAAGCCCGCATTGGCGGGCGCCTCGCGCCGTCACCTTCCATATATAGACGACGCGCGCCTGGCCACGCCCCCTTCCCTCTTCAGCCAACGGCCGGAGGAGGCGGGGGAGAGGCGCGCGGGCAGATGGGCGTGGTGACGTAAGGCGTTCGGTTGCCACCTTATCTCCCCCTCCCTGGCGCCTGCCCCTTTTTCGCAGATTCACCAGAGGCAGAAATGAAACAAGTGGAGCCTTTTCTGACGGGGGAGCTTCACCAGTTGAACTCCTCTATGTTGAGTTGCTGTGGAGAGCGCAGGAGCAGGTCCATTGGGGAGAAGGTGGCAACCTGGGAGGGAGAGGGAGAGTTAAAGCGACCAGGTTGAAAGAGGCAGTGTGGTGTGGTGGTTGAAGTGTCAGACTGGCATCTGGGAGACCCAGGTTCGAATCCCCACTCTGCCCTGGAAGCTCTCTGGGTGATCTTGGGCCAGTCCCATCCAATGTTCCCTCTAAGCTGTGGAGTCTTGTGAGCAAAAATCCTACTTTGTGAGCTACTGGCACTAAAGTTGTGAGCAGGTGATTTGGCTGCTGCATAAATTAGTTTGTCCTGGAGCCATCCTTCCTGAGCTAAGAGAAAAATGTGTGAGCCGGAGGCTAAAAAACTGTGAGCTAGCTCACACTAACTCAGCTTAGAGGGAACACTGGTCCCATCTTCTCAGCCCAACGTACTACCCGCACAGGGTTGTTGTGACAATAAAACAAAGGAGAGAATGACGTAAGTTGCTTTGGGTCACCGTTGGGGAGAAAGAAATATAAATATAGTAACTAAATGCAAAATAAAGAAATGCCCCTGGGTAGATCTGTGGCCGCTTGTGGAAAACGAGGCACAGTTCTGGCTGCCGTATCTCAAAAAGGACATTGCAGAGCTGGGAAAAGTGAAAGGAGGGCAACCAAGACGAGGAGGGTGTTGGAGAACCTTTCCAATGGGGAAAGGCTGGAGGGTCTGGGAGGACTTTTCAGTCTAGGAGAGAAATGGCTAAGGGGAGACATGACAGAGACTTGTAAAATTATGCATGGGGTAGAGAAAGTGGATGGAAGAGAAGGCAGCACCGTACAGCCCGATCTCATGAGATTTCGGGAGCTAAGCAGGGTCGGTCCTTGGATGGGAGACCACCAAGGAAGACTCTGCAGAGGACAGCAGCGGGAAGCCACCTCTGCTTCTCCCTTGCCCGTAAAAGCCCCTGGCGGGGGTCACTGTCAGTCAGTTGCGACTTCGGCACTTACAGACATAGAGAAGGGGGGGGGGTGCTGTTAAGTTGCAGCTGACTTGTGGCGACCCGGTAAGGTTTTCAAGGCAAGAGATGTTGGGAGATCATTTGCCGTTGCCTGCCTCCATGTCATCCAATGTTCCCTCGAAGCTGAATTAGTGTGAGCCTGGTCCTTCTAACTTGGAGATTGAACTTGGGGCCTTTTGTATGTCCTGCAGATGCTTTACCACTGAGCCACAGCCCCTCCCTTAGCTGCGGACGAAATTCGAGTCCAGGACCACCTTAAGAGACCAACACAATATTCCAAGGTACAAACTTTTGAGAGTCAAAGCTCCCTGTGTCTGACACGAAGCTGATAACCTGCTGGACTCGAATGTCATTCTGCTGTGGCGACGTGAAAAAGGCCACACATTTTGATAGCTTTTAAAAGGGATTAGACAAATTCAGGGGTCATTTCGTAGAAAAAGAGGTGCAGGGGCTCATTAGCATAACTCATTTGCATATGCCACACCACCTGACATCACCGGAAGTGTGTCAGAAGGCAACACCCACCGCTCAGGCTCCTCTGGACTGTTTTGGATTGCTAGCTATTGGGGGGGGCCACGTGCAGATCTGTCGTCACAGAGGAGGGAGAGCTCGTACCTGAATAAAACCTGGTCTTAAAGGTGCCACTGGACTGTTTTGGACCGGGGGGCTCTGCAACTTACCTGGCTGCTTCTTGCTCTGACTGAGGGCTGCTGGGAGCAGGGGGTGGGGCTTGTTGCCTGTGCCCGCCCCCTGGGCTCTTTACTGCCGGAGCTCTGCTCCTGTGTCCTCCTGCAGGAAATGACCCCTGAACAAATTCAGGGGAGTCTGTCAGCAGCTGGACTGACATGCTCTGAAGCCCCACTTGCTTCAGAGCCGGTGTGAACTTTGGTCTCCAGGCCTAGCCTGTCTGGCCACTGCAGGGAAACAGGATACTGGGCCGGATAGACCTGGGTCTGACCCAAAAGGGCTTATCTCAGGGATGGATGAGCTGTTGTGTCCCTCCAGGAAGATGGAGAAGGGGGCCTTGTTCATCGAGTGCCTTCTGTTTCCTGTGATTGGGTGACGGAGGCCTGGCGGGGAGATTTGGGGGAAATCCTCTGAGCTAGTAGGAAAGTTTTGTTGACTGTAGATTCTGGGAACTCTGTGTCCTGTTTTCCAAGATAGGCCTTGGACAGATAAGTTTGGTGAGAAAGGCAACAAAACTTAATTTGCCTGGATGCTGGGTGCGGGGCTCCTATTTCCTGCTCTGGGAAAGTGGATTAGAACGGGTTAAAATTAGCATTTTTCTCACTGGGTCAACAGCGGGGCAGGATGGACAGGCTGAAAATCTGCACTTGGTCATAACTGTGACTGAATGACCCTGTTAAGAAAAACTTGCGTAATGTGTCCAACGTGTGAGTCATCTGTCTGTGTGCCCGTCTGGGGCCTGGCCCAGTCAGGTGAACCTGAAACCTCAGCTATCTCGTACGTTGTATCAAATCGCAACTGACTTATGGCGACCAGTGTTCCGTCTAAGCTGAGTTAGTGTGAGCTAGCTCACAGTTTTTTAGCCTCCGGCTCACACATTTTCGTCTTAGCTCAGGGAGGATGGGGGTCCAGAGCAAACTAAGTTATGCAGCAGCCAAATTGCTGGCTCACAACTTTAATGCCAGGAGCTCACAAACAGTGTTCCCCCTAAGCTGAGTGAGTGTGAGCTAGCTCACAGTTTTTTAGCCTCCGGCTCACACATTTTCGTCTTAGCTCAGGGAGGATGGGGGTCCAGAGCAAACTAAGTTATGCAGCAGCCAAATTGCTGGCTCACAACTTTAATGCCAGGAGCTCACAAACAGTGTTCCCCCTAAGCTGAGTGAGTGTGAGCTAGCTCACAGTTTTTTAGCCTCTGGCTCACACATTTTCATCTTAGTTCAGGAAGGATGGGGCTCCAGAGGAAACTAAGTTACGGAGCAGCCAAATTGCTGGCTCACAACTTTAATGCCAGGAGCTCACAAACTGTGTTCCCCCTAAGCTGAGTTAGTGTGAGCTAGCTCAGAGTTTTTTTAGCCTCCGGCTCACACATTTTTGTCTTAGCCCAGGAAGGAGGGCTCCAGAGCAAACTGATTGATGCAGCAGCCAAATAGTTCATTCACAACTTTAATGCCAGTAACTCACAAAGTAGATTTTTTACTCACAAAACTCCGCAGCTTAGAGGGAGCATTGATGGCAACCCCAGCAAGGGGCTTTCAAGGCGAGTAAGAAGCAGAGGTGGTTTGGCTTTGCCTTCCTCTGCAGAGCCTTCCTCGGTGGTCTCCTGTCCATGTACGGACCCCACTTCGCTTCCAAGATCTGATGAGATTGTGCTATACCAGGGGTGGCCAAACTTGCTGAACCTAACAACCACATAGAATAAACGTCAGATGTTTGAGAGCCACAAGACATGAACAAGTATTACACACACATTTTTATTAGAAGATATTCAAATTTACTTTTTATTAACATTAAATGAGACTGTCATAAAAACAAAAGGGGTAAAACAGATATTGATAATGATATTTATTTGTCCAATGATATTTGTTTGCTAATGATATTTATTTGTCTGAGAAAGAGAGAAAAAGGGAGAGGTGAAAAGAAAGAAAAAAAGAGGTGGAAAGAAAGAGAGAGAAAGAAACAAAAAAAGCAAATAGATGGGGGAGGGAGGGGGAGGGAAGGAAGGGAGAGAGAGGGAGGGAGGGAGGAAAAGAGAAAGAAAGGTGGAAAGAAAGCAAATGGAGGGAGGGAGGGAGAGGTGGAAAGAAAGCAACTTTAACTTTACATGCATTCTCCAAGCCCCCCCCCCCCCCCCCCCCCGCCG